GCTGCTTGGCCTGCTGTGCTCATCCAGCTCTACACCATGTTATCTCAGATTCTCCAGCATCTGCAGTTCCTACTATCTCTGCTACAATTGTTTTACTACTTGGTTGGGGCTGCTAAAACCTGAGGAAGTACCTATGTTACTGCCTGAAGCTGATGGAGCACAAAGCAGTAATTGTACCATTGATCCTTCTGATAATATGACAATAAGTTTTAAGTCACCACATGTTGAAAGGATGTCATTTAGATCCGCATTTTAGGTAGATGTTTGTTTTTCTGCAGAGCTAGCAATTAATTGATTTTTGCCAGTTTGTGGATCTTAGTTAACATTACAGCTTTGTTCAGCAAGAATGTTTAAGATTGGGAAATCCAAAATAAATGAGAAGTTTGTCATTTAATCGTGTAATTATTGTAATAATTTTAAACAGCCTCAGGGCAAGATGGCACAACAGTAGGCAATTGTGTGTTTTTCATTAGGTGGAATTTGGAGACTTTGAACGACCATTCACAAGTCCAGCAGCTCAGGTCTCGGTGCAATCCAAATCAAACCAAACTCTGAAGCAAGTAATAGAGAAATTTTATCCGAAAAGATACAAACAAGGCTGTACAGATGAGCAAATTAAGTATGTATGAAGCCCATTCAGTACAAATGTTATGACTGCCAGGATTCTATAATGTTACCATTCTTCTCACTAAATATTCAAGTAATTAATTAGGTAGCTCTTGATAATTGTTGTAAGAATCAGTAGCTTTATTCCACATTTACATGTATTGAGTGCTGAAATAATATCACCAGATTTTCACAAGTTGGATTTCAAAACATAGTTTACAGAAGTAAAATTAAAATAAAAAGCAAAAACAAAAAATATTTTGCGCAAGTACATGCAGTAGAAAGTATTATGCCTCCATACCATTATGTGTCTACTTTAGACAACTATGTCAGCGACTTTCAACTAAATGGATGGCTCTTCGAGGACGTGCTACTGCTGACTGTGTGCGCATTTACTTTACTGTAGCCAGGAAATGGCCGTTTTTTGGAGCAAAACTGTTTGCAACAAAGGTAGGATTCTGTTATCGAGATTTGTTGCCCAAATGTGAATTTTCTGCTAACGTTATGCTGTATTAAGTGTTTCACAGAAATATCAGATGTGTTATTGGTCGATTGTATTAAAGCACCAGCTGAGACCCAGATCTTATTTGTAATTCAGCTCTGTTACTTCCTTCCATTTGTTTATTCTTACTTTCTAAGATGGAATATTCCCAATTTCCCCATCTGACATGTACATTTGTGGGGAAACACTGAACAGAAGAAGGTGCTTCTTCATCAAAGAGCAGTGAATATAGAGGAATTCCTACTGAATGTTCATAAATCTGCCAGTAAATGGTAATTGATGTAGGCAGAAGCAAGGGAATAAATGGCTGACAGACTGCCCTGATGGATGGGGAAAGATGAAAATGCAGAATTCACAGCCTTTATTCAGCCCAGAACATTTCAGGGGAAGATATTCACTACGCTCTAAATGGAATAAAATCATAAACAAAACCTTTATGAATAAATGTTATTGCATTTGGAATCTTCCATTTACATGGCAGATGACAGTCAAAAATCAGTAGGAATTTCAGATTAGTCAAGTATTGGAATTCTATTAAAAACCATTACTATTTGGTATGTTTGATAAATAACAAGGGCTACATCAGTGTTAATGATATTAAATTTTCTACATATCAGGAGACTATTCTTCTCAGTAACGATAATGTTGGAAATTTATCTTCTCCCTTATGAACATTGACAATTCGAAAATGATATTGAACAATAAAGAGGATTTTAACAAGAGGTCAAATTGTCAGTTCAACTAATTTAACTTGTGTTCTTTTGTTACCAGCATATTCTGGTTTGTAAATATGATAGTTCTTGCTTTTATTTCTGTTCTGTAGACTATTGCTCCACCACTATCTGACACTGCACCCATTTGGTTAGCTGTGAATGAGAATGGAATCAGCACATTGGAATACAGCTCTATGGTAAGAATAACCACTTTTAAACACTCTTTCATCATATTTGAAGATAGTAGAAACTGCCGATGCTGGAGAATCTGAGATAACAAGGTGTAGAGCTGGATGAACACAGCAGGCCAAGCAGCATCAGAGGAGCAGGAAAGCTGACGTTTCGGGTCTGGACCCTTCTTCAGAAATGGGGGAGGGGAAGCGGACTCTGAAATAAATAGAGAGGTGGGGGAGGCAGATGGAAGA